TTAACAAGAAAAATTATCACAATAACGAGTCAAAAACCTAAACATTTTCTCTTTTTTAATGAAAAAATCTTGGCTTTTTTTCCTTTAAATGATTTTGTAATAAATGGAAAATGATCTCGTAATAACTAACAAAAAAATGTCTTGTGATGTAATCACGAGAAAAAAGGCTTAAAAAAAAAAATCTCGTTAATATGAAATTTCCTTACTATGAAAAAAATTTCGCAATATTAAAGTCTTTTCTCGTTATGAAGATGTCCTTTTTTCTGTTATATCAAGATCTTATCAAGGAAATGTTTCTCTTCATAACGAGACCTTTCCGGTTTTGAACGGATAATTTTCTCCTTATTTCGAAATTTTTTCCAGTTATGACCAGATCTTTTTTTTCTTATATCAGGCCCATAGCAATGTTTTCAAAAGTTTTTCCAAAGTGTGTGTGTGTGTGGGTCATCTCCCCCCCCCCCCCCCAAAAAAAGTGTGTGTGTGGGGGGGGGGGGGGGTCAACTTCCCAAAAAACACAAATTATTAAGTGTTCAAATCCTGCAATTTGCCCATGCTCGACCATACAGCCACAAAAAGTTGGGGGGGGGGGGGGGGGACCAGCATCTTGAGGAAAATTTACAATATAGAAAAATAAGTGGGGGCCAGGCCCCCCGCGTTCTACAGGCCTGTATAATGAGATTAACCATCATACCATGCTTTACGATATGTAATACATATGGTAACTAAAGATCGAAACCCGGCCTCTTTCCCTTAAATAATTACTTTCTATAGTATAACAATTTGATGTCTTAACCTTTCCACCGATCTAAAGTTAAAATACATGTATATTATCCCATAATATAATTGACAAACCTACCCTATCTACATCAGTCTTTTACAGTAACCTTTCTTTATGTTCTAAACTAGGAAAATATCTGTAAAATTCACAGAAGTAAGTTTTGCTTAAAACGTCATGGTATTAAAGTAAATAATAGTAGGAAAAATGTGACTTAGAGACTGAGGCTCAAATTACTTAAAATGGAATTCTTCTTTTGGTGTGGGAAAAAACCACACACATTAAAATTCTGATTTTTTTTTTCTTTCTCAAATGAACAGCCAAAAACATGTTAAAAAGCAATAGAATATGACAATCAAGTATTCGAAGTTTTTAATATTAATGCACAAGCTTCTCAAGTAAATCACAATTCATCACAACCAAAATCACCATGCTAATGGCAGAAAAAAAATAAAAATTATGCAAAACATACATTTTTTCTGGAAAAGTAACAAGTAAATCAATATTTCAAAAACAAAATTCAACTTGAGATTCCACTTATATGTGATCTAAAAAGAGTTCTGAAACATGTACAGTACAATATTAAATGTCACAAGTGATCCAGTCCCTTCTGGTACCTCTTTAGTTTTATTTGAACTTTAAAATACTGGCCACAACTCAAAAATATAATTGGCAGAGCTTCTTCAACATATTAAGTTAACTGTACTTTTTACAAAAACACATTATTTTCACACAATATTTATTTTTTAATTTTGCATTCAACAAAAAAAAAAAAAAATCGTTTTACATAAATTACATGCAATATAAAGTTTGGCATAAATTTTAATCAATAATCTTAGTGGAAAAAATAAAGTGCCCCGCCACAGCATGATACGCCCGTCAAATATTGTTCAATTATCATAAACAGTTTAGGGTGCAAGAAAATCATGTCAACCTTAATTCAAAGATTTCCATGATTTTTCCAATCCTTATAATATTTGATGTTTATACATTTCCTGAAGTGCAGGCACTAATTATAATAAATTTCTCAACTGGTTGTGTTAGACCTTGACAAATGCCCATCTGCAGCCCCCCCCCCCCCCCCATCTTTCGTATTTATTTGATATTTTCAAAAAATTAGATAAAAATATCATATTAAACAATATCAAAATAGTCTTAACAATTTAATCTATACCAAATTAATTTTGTAAATAAAAGGCTGGGCGTCAAATGACATATGCTATAAACTAACAAGCAGTTTTTCTCTGTCTAATTCCCAAAGGATACAGATAAGAGCTGCTTGATCAGAGATGCTCTAACAGAAATGATTGAGACAGCTAGTTTTTCCTATACATTGAACTCATTAATTATAATCTTTAACTGGATGCATGTCCATTCATTACTCCCAAGGGATGAATGGATCTGCATTATCTGCTTTAATAGTCTGTATTGTAATAAAAATGCATATTTATGTCATTCAATTGAAAACAGAGTTTTTTTTAACTTGTTACAAAGATTTATAAAAAGAAATGAAAACTTACGTAATCTTGATGCAATATTTTTAATAAGGTTACTGCATGACTCTTAGATTTGTAGGAACTATCTACCATAAAACATTTTTTTAAAAAAAATACTTGATGATCTTTTTGAGATTTAATGTCAGACTGGTTTTAAGCTGCAGTTCATATTGACAAACAGACAAATCGACGTGCTGATTCCAATATCCCCCCCCCCCCTCCCCGGTTTAATTAGTTTTCATTATATTATACAGTATCAAATTAGTTTATTATACAATATCAAGTTAGTTTTAATTACTTTTCACCAAATTCATTTTAAAGTTAAAAGGCTAGCCAACTAGATTCATTTGGTCCAACACTGATTCCTTAATTTGCCCAATTCCCAGGAGATATAGATAACACCTGCTTCATCAGAGATGCTCTACCAGTTAGTTCCTCACACTAAAGTCATTAATTTCTCTCTAATTTGACATGTAATTTTCTGTTATCAAAATTTTCCTTGACCAGTGCTTGATAATTACACCCCTGGGAGAGGTGGAATTTCTCTTGTAACATTACATTTGTTATAGATTGCTGTAAAGTATACAATGAAAAAAATAAGTATTTTCTTGATTTAACATTTTTTTAATAAGGATACTGCAACATTCTTACATTTTTGGGGATTGTGTAATTTAATAGTATAGAGACACAGTTTTTTAAAAAAATTTCACTAAATTAAAAGTCACAGTGACCTTGAAATAGGTCGCGACACACCTTCTACCTAAGATGCATATATTGGCCAAGTTTGATGATTCTAAGTCTAATAGTTTTCTAGTTATGAGCTGGACAGGATTTTTCCATATTTGGCCATAGCATCTTAATTAAAGGTCAGAGCGACCTACTTTTAATGCACGACACACCTTCTACCCAAGACGTATCAGCTGACAAAGTTTGATAATTCTAGGCCTAATAGTATTAAAGTTATGAGCCGGACATGAAAAAGCTAACAGACGGACGGATGGACAGACGGACAGACATGAAGGCTATAACATAATACGTCTCGTCTTAAGACGGGCGTATAATTACTAGAGCACCAGGCCATATTCATATTCTGAACAAATATGAAAAAAAATATTTTGACAAATCAATATTGAGGTATGTTAGTACTAAACCATGTTTATACAAGTCCAATTTTTAAAATTAAAACCTTTAAAACAACTGCCTCCTTCTGCACAAAATTGGCAAAAATGAAACAAATGCCAGTTAGTCAAATCATGAATAAATGCAAACCACTAGTGCAACAACCTGAATCATTTTGACTAACAGAACTGAACTTGACTAAATGTATGTAAACATGCAATACTGCACATGCATGACATAAAAAGCAATAAAAAGGAACAAAAAAGTGATATGTATGTTCTAGTACATTATAGAAATGGATACAATTTTTTATGTTCCAAGTTATCACATGTGAAAAATGATTATACATTTGTATTTATTTTAGTTAGTCATATACTTCCGAGTCACCAAAGTGTCCTCTGTAAACTGAATCAAGGGAGCCTACTTTGTACATTACATCGTCACAAATATCATTTTTGTCAAACATGATTAAAAAAAAAGTACATACATGTATTAAAGATACCCATAATTATGCAAAATGTATTAGTATTTGAAAGGGATGAAACTGAATAAACATGGTAACATTTTCTGTACAACTTGGGTTATACAGAATGATTTGAAAGTGGAAAAAAAGAAAGCTAAATATGAGGAATGAAATAATATAGTTGACAAATATCTGCCAAGATTTTGCTATAAATACATGAATAATGAAATGAATCTGTCTGAAATCCCCCAAATCAATTTTCAGTAGAGTTTATACATGTAATAATAAAAATTCTCATCTACAAGATTCAAATTCATTCATTTGGCAGAAATATAGCTGTAGATGAGAAATAAAACTGTGTCTACAAAACCATCAACTCTAAAATTGGATGTGTAGAAGGGCCCTGCTAACTGCAATGCTTATAAGCTGATAATTTTTTTTTCTTTTCAAATAAAGACCACATTAAAATTTTGAATACTTTTTGTATGAATCATTGTCTTCTTTTTTTCTTAATACACTTCATGAGAATGCTTTCTTGACAATTTGACAAACTGTGGTCTTGTGGTTCTTGAAAAAAATGTTTTTTCTAAAGTTGGTTTTTATTTGGTTCTTTAATTTTTATTTGCTTTTGTTTTTGTTCTTTTTTTAAAGTAAAAAATTTTCTAACCTCATGCTTAAAACCCCTTTACAATATTTGCAATAGATTCATATGAAATATGCATTTTTCATTCAGCCAAAAGTAAAAATTACAGAATACAGACTGATGAAAGAAAAATTGGACCAGAAAAAGCTTCTTACAGCCATTGTCCCAGGTGAGCTTAAACTATATGATTTCTTTCAAATAACTTTCATTAATGTATTCCCTGAAGAAACTAAGTACATGTTGTTTCATCATTTGAGCATTATTTAAGTGTGGTATTTATAAAAAAGATACAACTAAGCAATCTACAAATGCATGATTTTCTAGTAAATGCCCCTTTTAACAATATAGAACCTGATCAAATAATAACCCCCCCCCCCCCCCCCCCAACACACACACAATCACACACATCCAAAAAAGGGAGAGAAAAAAAAAGAATTATGGATAAATCAAAATGAAGCAAAACAATGTATATATATATATAAAGATTAAATATTAAAGGTTAAATAAGAAACACTGGTAAAAATTGTTAATGATGGAAGAGTTGGATTTTTGAGACAGTGAAAAATTTACAATGATATAATTTTCTCTCAGTGATAAAAACTTACAATGTTAAGTTTGGACATGGAATAAAAATACTGTAAATACAGCAGCTCAGCTGAGTTAAATTCACAACAAATAGCAAAAACGTTAGATACATTTTATATAGACAGAATCTGTTTTTGAAACAGATAACTTAAATATATCATTGAAGTAATTATTTTCAACTGGTATATTTTCAATTACATGAAGACTATATTTATTCAAATTAACATCATATAGATCATACGTCACTTTATACCAGAACCACTGAAATATATTTCAAATGTTTGTTGCATCATACATGTCCTTTCCATACAAAAAAGTGCATATTGTTAACTTAAAAGCTTTTAAATCCTTTTGTTTTTAAAATATTAAGATATATACACATCTGAGCTGCCGGCATTACTACAGCTACATACAGAATCTCCGACGTGACATGAAAATCTACCAGCTGAAATTCATTACTGCACATTCCCCTCCTTGGCTGTATATATTTTTGTTCAGCAGTTGAGCAGTTTATGAAGGAAAAAAAATCTTATAAACACTGAATGGACAAATTTGATAAATGGAATGCTATGATAGGCTGTTGATGACTGTCAATATGGACTGCAGGTTATAACTGGCCTGTCTGACCGCTACTGCTAGTAGAGACACCTGGGTCCGCATTCTTGACCAATCACCTGTTGTCCGTCCCCTGTCAAACCCCCAAATAACCCCGGGGAATATCTGAGTTTTGTACAAATTTTCCGGATGTGGTGCAACAAGCACATTTCTGGAAACAGAAATTTAGAATACATATGTAAAATGGTTTCAGAACTGCAAAAAATTTGCTATATTATGCAGTCTGTGGTTTTATTTTAAGACAAGTAACTAAATCATGTCTGTCTGCATAATTTCTTGCTGTTTTTTTTTTAATCTTTGCAGATGACAGTGATAAAATACTCATAAAATTGACTTTTATGATAATGACATGACTTCTTAAATTCATTTTATGCATCACTCTTTTTTTATTTAACATTCATAGCAGAAAATACACATCCAGACTCGTAAATAAGTAAGGTATTAATATTAAGAGGCAGTCCACCGAAAAACCAGGCAGTATTGTATTAATAGGCGGCACATCGAATGTGAGGAATATTTGATATTTTATCAAAAACAATATCAATGTAGCCCAAAAGGAATAATGTAATTGAAGATTTGCTTGATAATTGCTTATTTAGTAAAATATCCTTGTGTTTTGTGTTTTTGAATGCCCCTATATAAACCATTGAATGTAGGTCAGAAACAAAGAACTGTAATTTCTAATACATTTTTCACAGGACTATAATTCACACTTAACTAAATCTAGAAATATTTCAACTTTTTGTTAAAAAAATAAAATCGGTGGGAAAAACACTTTTGATAGTAGTTTTCTGGCAAAATATAAGGACGTTTTTATGAAATTTTGCGATGCAAGAGTTATCTCCCGTGGCATCGGTAAATCTGCTCAACACCTTTTTATCGGAATCCTAGTGAAATATTTAGAATCGATACACTAAAGAAAATAATTAAGCAAAAAACTAAATAATTTATTTTCAAAATATAATTCATTTTCGCCTCCAGACGTAATATTTAGATTAAAATTGGCTCTATTATTCAGGTTGAATCCACGTTTCCATTGATGTATCAGTGACGTCATATACCTGACTAATATTGCGTCACAATGAAATAGTTACAAGTTTCCAGAGAAGTTTGTAAATTCTTTGCGTAAAAGTATAAAGAAAAAGATTTTTTTAAAAAGGATTTCTCTTTTTCTGTTTAATTACTCTTCAGAGAGCATTATTCTAAATGTTAAATAATATTTTAATATCAAAATGTATTTTATACATGGGCGGCGTCTCAGCTAGATGACGTTTTGATAAGTAATTTTATACATGTCTGAGAACTAATTTTTTTTTAACTGATTTACTAGGATATGCGTAAAAATAATTAATGAAGTGTTTATCATGAACATTTCTTATAAAATTAGGAATCAATGATGAATGTTTTAGATTTATGCAACACTTAATTCAACGAAGTTGAGATGTTTACTTCATGATATTTGTAAAAACTTAAATATATTTATCTATGCAGTCAAATCAAAATAAACAATCCGAAGTACGATTAAAAATGAAAAAATAAAACTGAAAAATAAGTTATAAAAATATATTTATTGAGTTAAACTACTGCTGAACTCCCCACTATAATTTGGCACTAAAACGGAAGATGGTTTAGTGAAACATTTCGTTTTTTTTTTTTATTTTACTTATTTATTTTTTTAATTTGGCGATTGAAACAATCACACACTCACATTTAATATGGATTTAAACATGTGACTATGTTGGCCAATTCTAAAATGTTTTCACGTTCATGAAACCAATTTTTAAAAATAATGATGTCATGACCCCCCCCCCCCCCCCCCCCCCCTGCTTTTTGCTTGCGATTTATCGGCTCTTGAATAATGATACTATATATGAAAGAACTTATTTTCTTATTTATATAAAATCAAATTTTGTAAAAGAGGAAAAGGTTTTACAGATGACAGGTAAGAAAAAACTTGGATAAAGTCGAGACTGTACACATAAAAATATTTCCTGTATTTAGGCAAGTTTAATTTCGCCACTGATAGAATTTACTCTTTAATTCCTGAGGAAATAAAAAAGAAATTTTACTTGGAAATAAGATAAATAATAAAGCTAGAAAGCTGTCTGCTCTCATTTGTTGCATAATGCATGTACAAATACTTTTTTTAAATACCGAGTATCTATTAAGAATTCAATCAGATGTTTAACATGTAATCTTCATGTACGTAAAAGACATTAGTAATTTAAATAATATATAAATTTGAATCTATGGTTACACTCATTTAAAAACAGTTAACTGACTGAAAAGAAATAAAAGACAAGCATATTTTTCTGATAAATTAAAATGAAGAGCCAAATTTAGGAAATGTTTCTAAATTTACAGTAAAAACCGATCCCGATCCGATCGAAAATAATGCAAAATTAACAAATTTATCAAACTAAAGGCACCTGCCACCTATATAACATGTTAAAAAAATAAATCAAGTAAGTTTTTACTCATATTACAACAAAAGAGCCAAATTTAACATTACAATTATAGTATTTTTTTTCTTTATATAATTCCGGTCGGGATCGGTTTCATTTGGGAAAATTTAAAAAAAAAAAAAAAAAAAGAGGTAAATTTGACTCCTTTTATTCCTTTCAATATACCTGTTCCCACTGATTTTATTGAGTGATTCAAAAGTTTGTACTTTGTATTCATAATAACATAAGAAAAAAAATCTGTCCTTGTAATGTATTGGGTTTTATAACGTAATGAAAATTGGATACTGAATTCAAAAAATTACTTGCTTAACTCAAATTTGGACCATATAATTTTTTCTAAAGAAGTATAAATTGGAGTCTTATTCATTAATAAAATAAAAGATAAGAGTCTGTGCTATAAATAATATTCATCGACACATCCAGCTTTTGAGTATCTGTTACATATAAAACAAAATAAAAACGTAGTAATTTTTTTTACCCTTATGTTGACCTTTTTGCACTTAAAATTAAGCATTTACCAAAAATAGGACTAGAGGAGCACTAAATTTTTTTTAATGTTGTCATGTGTAAACACTTGCTTTAATAAGTCTACATGCAAAAAATAATTAAAATCCATGACATGCGATGTGCCACCGATTGCCTGGTTTTTCGGAGGACTGCCTCTTAATTAATACTTCCATTACTTCTAAGAATTTTTTTTACAACTGTCACATCCTTTAAGTGCAAGCAGTACAGGTGTTTCACTTGGGATGTTTTCAAATATTCACCTGTTTTACAGCAATAGGATGCTATGACATATTTTATGGTAATTCTTTTTTGTACAAAAAATGCATATCATACTTTAAAAGACTATAGTTGAATGTTTTATAATTTTCATATATGTACTTTGAGCTACAGGCCAAAGAACATAGTGGGATGGTACTGAATGTAAAAATATATTAATAATAGTCTCTACAAGTACATGTGTAGCCCCCTTGCTGGGTACTGAGGAATACTGAAGAAGACCAGGAATACTGTAGTGATACTTATAAGCTCAATAAGACTTTTCTGACCAATGCCTTGGGGGGGGGGGGGGGGGGTTAGAGAGAGAGAGAGAGGGGGGGGGGGAGAGTGAGAGAATAGAAAATAATCAAAATATTAAAAAAATTAGGTATTTTATGACTCACCTATATTGAGGAAATTCTGGAAGACCTCTGTTAACTATAAATATTCTTGGTAGTTGTATAAGCTTGTCATTTATATCATAGATAACTTCTTCACTGAAAAAATAGAAGAAAAAAAAAACAAATTGAGGTACAGGGTAATTACTGGAAGTTTATGCTAACAAAGGAAATAAAAAATATTAGAATACTAATTAGAATTATGCAATGCATAAAAAATAATACTCACTATAATTTTGATTTATCCAAATGTGTTAAGTTTGTTTGTAATAATCTGGCTCTGTCTGAAAACTTGTCAATTTCTGAGAAGAGAAAACCTGTAAAGAAAATCAATTAATAGTTTTTTTTTCCAAGCAGGAAGCTTAATTAAGGGCTAAAATGCTCACAGCAAATTTTTCCCCCCTCCCACCTCATTATATCCATCCTGTGCCACAAGATTCTCAGTTTTTTTTTAATTGCAGAAATTAAAATTTTCAAATCTGTATTCCTATATCAGAACCTACACTTGAGAGAGAGAGAACTTTTTCCTTAAAAAATCTCTTGTAGAGCTTTGTGTGTCAACCTTTTCTTTAATTTTAGGATTTCATCCAAGAACTTGAATCAATCTATACTGTAAATTTATTATATTTAGCGTGTATCATATGATATTTGGGCGGAAATTGATTTTTGAACAAGTTAGCGTAGGTTTGATTTAGCGCAATTCTTTATATTCTTATTTACGTGTATATGTGCAAGACATTTAGTGCTGTACTTGAATTAGTGGAAGTCGCTTTCCTGCAAAGGCACTTAAAGAATACACACCAAATGTAATATGTTTACAGTATGCTTGAAACCATATTTCTTTGAAGAAATAATGATCGAGGTCCATGGCCCATGACACTCATCTGAGTCATTATATGGCCCTGCTGTTCTTCTTAAGATTTTTTCACTATATATTCCTTTCTGACTTTGATCACATATTGTGGCCCCACCCTACCCCCGGGGTCAAGATTTGAACAAATTTGAATCTACACTACCTGAGGATGCTTCCATATCAATATGACTAATCATGCATTTGCTGTTCTTGAGAAGAAGATTTTTAAAGATTGTTTTCAGATATATTCCTCTGTAAATTGTGGTCCCACCCTACCCCCAGAGATCATGATTTGAAAAAACTTGAATCTACACTATTTAATGAAGCTTTCACATAAGTTTCAACTTTTCTGACCCAGTGGTTATTGAGAACATTATTTAAGATTTTTCCTATTAATTCCTATGTAAAACTTTTTGCACGTCGTGGCACCATCCTAACCCTGGGGGCATGATTTGAATAACCTTACATCTACACTATTGAAGTTTTCACATAAGTTTCATGTTTTCTGGCCCAGTGGTTCTTGAAAAGAAGATTTTTGAAAGATACCATTAATTTTTCACTAATTCTTAATTATCTCTTCCTTGGCCCTTCATTTGAAGAAACCTGAATTCCCTTCGCACAGGATACTTTGTGGCAAGTTTAGTTGAAATTGGCCCAACGGTTCTGGAGAAGAAGATGAAAATGTGAAAAGTTTACAATGATGACACCACCACCACCGCAGACAGACAATGGACAAATTTCAATCAGAAAAGCTCACTTGAACCTTTGGCTCAGGTGAGCTAAAAGTGTTAAAAATCTTTAGATAAGACAAAATGGACAACAGACAGGAATAGATGACAATGGATCACCTATATATGTATCTATAAAAAGATGCCTAAATCAGAATTTATCACACATAAGCTTTATCAACACACAGAGCTTAAAATTTCTCTGAAGTATGAATTTCCTCTAAAGTGGAGATTAACTATATAGAACTCTTATATTTTTTTCTCCCATTGCCATTATATGTTTCATCACTTCCATACAGCAATTCTTTTTTTGTGTATGTGTGTGTTCTCTAATAAGCATTTGATTGGTGGCCATGATATGCGAAGCATTTGATTGGCTGCCGAAATATAGGAAGTAATAATGAACACAATCTATGAAGAGATTTAGTTTTTGCAATGGGAGAATAACGTTTCACTGATAATGCATGACATGACCATTAGTTAATGATTTTTCTCCAATTCTCCTTCCATAATTTTTTTAAAAATTGTCATATGCTTTAAAATTGTGTCTTTTGATTAGAAGAAAAAATTAAGGAATTTCACCCATGTTATAGAACCTATTTCCTCACCTAAATTGACATATGTGGAATTTATCTCCATATTCTTTAATTTATTTTTCCCTGTAATCAGTAAATTTGCAATATTTTGAACATTGAATGGAATCAATGCCGAATCACTGAGGCGGAGAATGACATCTGCTACAATCTGCGTGACTTTGACGTGGAGAGTGTAGTTATTTCTATCTGTGAAATTTGTAAGGTAGTCTTTTGTGTCCTCCAATGTATTGAAAGCTGGATAGCTTGGAAGGTTTGGATATTTCTGAAGTGAGAAGAGAAAATTCTTTTACGTCAACCTCATTTCATTTAAGCCAAAGCAATGAATTCCCAATCTTCATTAAAGCTAGACACGTAAAAAAAATTTCGAACTTGTAGAATCCCCTGCAGTCTGTCTGAACATAACAAACATCTTGACTTTGAATTTTAACCGAATAAACAAAAATCTATAGACATTATTCTAAGAAATGAAATTATTACAGGGTACCTGCATTCAAGAGGTATTTTATTTAACTGAAAGTTATGTCCCTTACCTTTCGACATTGACATCTTGTTTTTCATCTGTCTTATCAACTTCAAGACCAGAAATTTGAATGTTCTTTCAGTTTTGGTCAACTTTTAATCTTTAAAATCCTTATTCAACAAACTAAAGTACAAACATATAGAACACATACTGCCTTGAAAACTTTTGGCTCCATCTTTTAGTGCAGACCACAGAGCATCCAGTTCTCATTCAATTTCTTTGACTTTTATAAGAGCAACTTACCTTTGGGTTATAGGTGTACGCTGGGGAGAGGGAGGGCACACCGAGGTAATAGTAAAATGGGGAGTGATCACTGTCACCCTGTAGACCCTCAATCCTAAAAAAAAAAAAAAATGATCATTTATAATATGCACAAAGCCTTGTTCTTCGTAAAGTTTTGACTTGCTGAGAATTGATGAATCAATCATCAAACTCCATTATCAAATATAATGTCAGATCTCAGTAGACATAAACAGTTGAACTTCCGTATCTTGAACATCGATTTCTCAAATGCCATGGATACACTGAAGTGAGCTGGAAATCACAACCACTTTTTCTTTATGTATTTTAACCTCAATATCATAAATCCTCGGATATCCCTTTTCATGGCTGCATCAAGTTCAAGATAACGAGATTTTACAATACTTGAATAAATCTTAATCCCCTCCCTCCCTATATAATCTTGTATCTTCAAAGCAATGCGCGACTGTAGGATCAAATGGACTAATTATTCTGTAAATACCACTTTTCAGTGACATTTCAATTCTTAATCTGCATCTTTAAATTTGAAAGTCAATGGCCTCCTTTTCATATCAAACAAAATAAAGCACATAATATTCCACAACAAACTTTGTTTTCTTCAGATATAATTCATTCAGCATCAAATTTGATTAACTTCAGAAAGTACATTTTTAATTAAGACATTGATGGTTTAAATGCTTCCTGAACGTAAATTGTTTCACATGAATTATCCTACACAGAATTTTTCACATATTTTGATCTTTTCTTCCTTATTCCATGGCCAAAAAAATTGACCAAAAGCCTTGGCAGGTTAATGGTTAATAAACACTGATGCACGGGGAGCTGGCACCAAAGCTATTTGTCTTCATGTCATTAACATAATTGACTTCCTTATCTGAAGTATAGAGGTATATCAATTGAATGGTATGTATTGTTTTTTGCTTCATCTTAATAATATGCCCATTTCTTTTTATCTATAAATATAATCACCTTTGAGTTTTTTATGCTAATTAATAATATTGATATATATAATAATACATCTTATTTTATTACTGTTTTTGCTCCCTTAATTAGCACACAACTGAAAGATTCTATATGCTGGATAATCATTATATATACACATCTCTTTATGGATATTGCAATTTGAATATCATGGGTTTTTGAGCCTTTTTAATCTTCATTAATCACAGATTAGGGTTACATTTTCTTAATCCTAGTTCTGTTCCATGTTTTGTAAAGTTTGTAATTATCTCTTTAATAAGCTCAAAGAAATACAAAAAGTCTTGTATATTTTATCGGTCCCATTACAAGCTCCATGGTGGTCATGTCTTTTGTGGGCTCTGTTTTTTTTTTTTTTACCAAAAATATCATTAAAATTCTTTTAATTTGATAACTATAATTATTTTCCCTTACTGCAACACACCAGACATTGTAAATTATCTGTTTTCTATTTTATTTTTTAAAATTTTGCTTCCCATTATAAAACACCTTTTATAATAAAAGTGATGTTTTACATTGCGACTAATTAGCTACGATGAAGAGGTTACAAATGCATGGACATTAACTGTCTCAGATAACCGCTTTAGGAAATGATCTCTTTGTTGAACTCAAAAACAATTAATTAGGTAATTAAATATATTGTTCAAAAGAGGAAGCATTTTAGTGTCCTTCATAACTTGTCTATTTTATAAAGCAATAACAAATGAGCTGTCTGAAACCATTATAAATTTAAGTCTGACCCACGTTTAGATATTTACATCTCTGACAAAAATGAAGCAATGAATGCTATATATATGGAGGGATAAAAACTAAAAATATGATTTTCATTATTTATTTTTTATTTTATTGTTTTATATTATTCCTTTCCATTTCTAGTATTACAATAATGTACTACAATTGATATATATATTTTCTGTGCAAGGAGTCTTCAAGGTATGTTCAAATTTTTAAGAGCTTATAAGGCCATGAATTTGTAACTTTTCTTTTTTATTAAAAAGTTGCTTCCAAACCTACATATATTATACATATATATCAACTGTTAAAGGTGTTACATGGATTTATCTCATTTTACTATAACATCATCTTCGCTATCCAAGGGTTTTTGGTCCACTCTGCTCCCCATAAAAGTTTATTGGGAGCGGATTGGACCCAAAACCCTTGGCTAGCGAAGATGCCATAACCTAAGAGAGATTGATATACAAAACAAGTTTGTCACATAAGGCCCAAAATAGCCATAACTAGAGAAGTCTGCTGCAGTGCCAAGCACAACCAATTTCAAAATGAATGAATGCTGTTACATCTCAACTCGACAACAATGACTTGCCAAATGAAGAGAAAATTACATTTCTTGTCTAATTAGGATAAAAATTGTTGCCATATTTTAACAGGTGTTTATTTTCATTCATTTAACAGGACAGTGCTGCTATTAATATTATGACACATAGAAAATGTCATTCTAAACATTAAAATCGGGGGAAAAACATTCATCTAGATAAAATATTTACATGCTACAATTAGTGTGAAAATTTTCTTGGTCTACATATTAAAGTCTTTAAGTGATGCTTATCAACTAAACTAAGTCTCTTTACCACACACCTTCTACATTTGATTCAACATATACTTACTTTAAATCTTAACATTTATACTGAGTCTGGTTGCTTACTTTGGCTATACATAATGATATATTGGATTATTTGGTGACATTGGTTTCTTACTTTGGTAATGATTTGGGTGACATTCGGTACTTACTTTGGCTATGATGGATTATTTGGGTGACACTGGGCATTAACTTTGGCTATGATGGATTATATGGGTGACATTGGGTACTTACTTTGGCTATGATGGATTTTTTGGCTGACATTGGGTACTTACTTTGGCTATAATGGATTTTTTGGGTGACACTGGGTACTCTCCTTGGCTTTGATGGATTATATGGGTGACACTGGGCATTAACTTTGGCTATGATGGATTTTTGGGGTGATACTGGGTACTTACTTTGGCTATGATGGATTATATGGGTGACACTGGGCATTTACTTTGGCTATGATGGATTTTTTTGGGTAACACTGGGTACTTACTTTGGCTATGATGGATTATATGGGTGACATTGGGTACTTACTTTGGCTATGATGGATTATATGGGTGACATTGGGTACTTACTTTGGCTATGATGGATTATATGGGTGACATTGGGTACTTACTTTGGCTATGATGGATTGTTTGGGTGACACTGGGTACTTACTTTGGTTATGATGGATTATATGGGTGACATTTGGTACTTTCTTTTGCTATGATGGATTATATGGGTGACACTGGGCATTAACTTTGGCTATGATGGATTTTTTGGGTGACACTGGGCATTAACTTTGGCTTTGATGGATTATATGGGTGACAATAGGTACTTTCTTTGGCTACAATGAATTATTGGGTGACACAGGTTGCTAACTTTGGCTACGTTTGATTATTTGAGTGACACTTGGTACTTTGACTATGATGAATTATTTATATCACACTGGTACTTACTTTGGTTGGGATGGATTATCCGGGTCTCGGTATGTTTTGGTCCATCTTTCCAGCACTGACTTATCCTGGTAGTCTGGATCAGAACATTTTACTGTGCTGGCCGCCTGTCGTATAACATCATACAATAAAGGGCTACTCTCAGCAAAGAAAGTATAGTTTCCTACAAGAAAAAGAGACAGTAAATCTTCAATATCTAGCTCAATATTGGCCAAATAAGTGGTACAGGAAAACACACTTATAGCAAACACACTTAAAATGAACTGATGCTTCCTACAGCAAAGAAATTTTCATTCCCCATGGTTTTAAAATACGTACATTGTGAACTTAGATATAATGAATTATATTTAAAATGAAGCAAATCATCCATCCCTGACACTTTGTTATATGCATGTTTTACTGTAAATAGTATTATTTCTTTGTTTTTTTTATTGCAAATAATAAAGTTTATTCCATTCTTTAAACATTATTTTCTACTTTAAATAAACACCAGTATCCACTTGATGCAACATTACATTTTTCATCTGATTATATGTGGACAAATCAAAGTTCCCATTAAATAAAATGAAAAACTGTGCAATGACTTTTCTTTGTATTTGCTGATAAATACTTTTTCTGAGATGAAATCCTCATTTATCCGAGGCTTTTTTTTTTTAAGTTTCTTCAAAATTCAGTGATCTTGACCTTTTGATTCTGAAATCTGTTCACTCCTCCTCTATACTAAGTATGAGACTGCATCGCTAAATGATACTGTTACTAAGGGAACAACAAACCTCTAGTACATTTAACTCACTGGTGTATCAATAATATTCTTATAAGGCCTGTTTCTGGGAGGCCCTATTGCAAATTGATCTACTGTCAGTTATGAATGAAAGAAAGATAACTCTTAAGTCTGAAGTGAACTACTCATGGTAGTTCTTGGAAGGTTCAACCGAAGCAAAGGCTCTAGTGAGCTATTCTAATCCAAGACAATGTGTAAGTGAGAGCAAGATAACCTAGGTGATCATAGGCCTCTTTGTTTATGAATGTATGGTCGGCAATGTTTTTCAAGGCATCTTGGTGGCAGCCATTAATCATACATCAGAAATTAAATGTGATCAGTTACATGTTTGAGTTAAGCATTTTACCATATACAGGGAAATTTTCACCCTTATTTTATTTCCATCCCTTATCACCCTTGTTGCAAGTGGGTGAATTTAAAATGGGATGAATTCCAGAGACAGCAATATCACTTAAACACAGTTGTATCTGGATGAATTTGAAACAGCTAGGGCAAAATTGTATGCAAGTGTGAAAGGGCGAAAAAAAAAAAAAACAAGGGACAAAAATAACCCTGTATACTTTAAAGAGATATGCAAAGTTCCAACCATCAGTAAGACAACTTTATATACTATATAGCTGTTAACACCTCTATATTATTATAGAGCTACCATACATACTCGCCTACAAGTCAGTTTTTGGGAGCTAAACTTTGGTCCAAAACTCCTTATCCGACTTATATGCGAGTTATAAAATGATAGGTATTTTAGTGGGTAAATCCCTCTAACTGAAGCTTAAAAAATACAACCGACTTATAGGCGAGTATATACAGTATACAATTTTGCTGAGCAAGGAAGGAAGTCACTCACATACAAATACTATAATACAGACCTCTAACAACTGTGTCCAGATTGATGTAGGCAATGGCTCCTGATCCTATCTCCTTTTCCATTTCCTGTTTGAGTAAATAACAAACTTTCAATATTCTGCCAACATTGATTATACAGTCAAATCTGTCATAGTGGCCCCCTGTATTAAGCGACTTTCTGTCATGTGCCACAGTTAAAATTTTTCATTATATTTTACCTGCATTTAGTTATTACCTGTCTAATGTGGTCATAATTATCCATCTAAACCAACATAAAACCCTGAATTTAGTTACTTTCAGCCCTGCTTTTCATAACATCTGTAATAAAAATACCTAGTTTTTCATTTTAGTTTTTGCCCCCCCCCCCCCCCCATTTGCAAAAAGTTGTTTGAAAAACATACTCATTAATACAGTATTTCACAATATGTGATTTGGTATCAAATACAATGGTATTAAAATTTTAAAAAAACATAGAGTATGTAACTTAAAATGCTTTCAACGAGAAGTGAATTTTTTTTCTATGTTTGTGCTCAAAAGAATCATTGATTTTGCTTTGTTATCATCTTAGTGTATTGTTTTTCCATTTTGGGCATAATTTTGTCATGGGGCATAATTTTGTCATGAGTATACCGTAAGTTTTATCTTTAATACCGTCATAAAAATATGGAACATGATAAAAACAAACCTGTTTTGGATAATCTTTCAAAATTTACACTTAACACAATTAGGAATAATAACAGTTTGTATGAACAAATATTTCTTGAAAATATTTTATTTATCCAGAAGAATGAGAATGCTTCAAAACTATGATGGACAGGGACAGGTAAACAATTTCATGTATTCTACTATTTAGTATTTATGCATTTACTTCAAAAATTGAATATGATTCCCTGCTTTAAGAGATGTACTACCTGTCATATATGTGACCATTTAAAATTTCCCTTGATATGTCGCCTGATACAGGTTTGACTTTATATCTATATATCACTGTATTCAGAAAATTAATGTTTACATTGTGTCTACAATAGTCTTCAATATTACATTTAAACTAACAATTCCACCAAGATATAGAACCTGGAATAGAACAATCTTATTTATTTCCAGATTCTTGCTGCAGTGTTCTGACATTGGTAGATTCTTGGCAGACTACAGACCTGCACCCATTCAAATGATCCAACATGTCCATATTTAGAGGCATCCCATAATGCAAACTTCAGAGTTCTTCTTGGTCTGTAACCTGAGCAAAATATAGTTTTCTTTTCATTCTGGGTGACTGGGAACTTACTTTATGCCTACACAAGTACAAGTTAGTATTAAAATGAACTCTGATAAACAATATGATGAGTTTTATGTCTCTAAAAATACTTATTACGAATTAGGTTTACTTGGATCTTTTAAGGTTTGAAGATTACGTAAATACAATGTAATATTAATTCATCCTTTTAGCAGAGCCTCATTTGCTAAATTTCCTTGGATTGTGCATGGCAAACATAATCAAGAAGTTACCATTTGTATTATAAAACAATTCAAAGTAAACAAGGGCACCGCAAGGTGGAGCGTCCCCTCACACATCGATCCAGATATAAATTATTGCTTACGTAACTTCCATTACGCACATACTCACACACACACAAAGTATGTTACTATATCCCCTCCAACTTCACTGAGAGGGGATAATAACAAGGTTACAGATAGTTCCCCTCAACAATTAATGCTTATTTTTCAGCTTCACCCTGGTTATGGAAATTAAATCTCTAAATTCTTTTTATCTACCTTAGTATACATTTAATCTGTAGTTTTAAACTTATAAATATACAGTTAATTTATTATTCATCTTTAGAAAATCATAATTTTATTAATGGGAGTAACCCCTACAATCAACTTATAATCCTGTATTATTAAATTTGGTGATAATTTACCTTTATCTGTATGAAAGCTGAAGGTACGTAAAAGTTCCCACAATACAGCATATCCACTAGCGGAGTCTACTCCTCCTCTGTTCCACGAGTCAATGTGTGCTCCAATAATGATAAACCTATCTACAAGTATTCACCATACTTAGAATTCTTCATGAAATCTCCAGATGATACTACTAGTTGCACATAAACTTTCCTGAAACCAGGTAAACTCTTGATTAATGCAGGTATGTATTTAATGATGAACTCAGACTAACCTTTTTCATACCGTCCCTTGATTTCTGCAACTAAATTTGAAATTTTTCTTGGTACAAGGTCTCTTATAACCGTTAAATTCACCAACCTAGAATGAAAGTTTTTACAAAATTAGTTTTTCAGAATTCTTATTGTGAAATTTTACCATATTGTAAAATTAAAATAAGTACATAATATGTAGTGCTTTGGGTGTTTTAATCTCCAATCAAAATTGTAAGTGATTTTAATTTTTAAGTTTAGTTTGTGAAAACATTCAATTTACATATACATTTCATTCAAACCATATTTATAGATGGTTCATGTTGAATATTTCAACTCATCTTTCATTGACCTTGAGTCGATCAAGATTGATCCATCTTCATGTCATTTTAAAATTAGAACTGAATGCATACCGATTAAGAACAGAATACAGGTTTAATTTAAGATATAAGCATATACAGTAAAACTAGGAATTCAAACATGAAAACATCAAACATTTCCTTATACAGTATAACTTGTCTAATCCAGACACCACTGGTTCCATAAATTTGACCTGATTAGACAACATTCCAAATTAGCATTCTAAATAATTGAATTTACGGAAAGGGACTTAAATTTACATCATAATTGGTAAAATTTCAGAATAGACAAGTTTTACTATAACTATGCAATTTTTACTGTAAAGGTTATTATTTTACAGAACATTCTATTAAAGCTGTAGTTACAGCAGACATATACCCAGAAGTCCCACTATTTTTTTTTTAATGTATTTTAACCTCAATATCTCAAATCTTCAAAAATCTCTTCTTCTTTTCAGCCTGAGTGAGTCTGAGATATTGAGGTTTGACTATGTCATTTACTAACATACCTTTCGTCAGTGTGACCGGGTCCTGTTTTGTATGGTACACCTAGACCCCCAATCCAGTCATCAGGCACTGCACTGCCATTCATTGATCTGAAGAAATAAACCTTCATCATTATAAGATGCTTTAAAATCAGAAAAATCTCAAATGTACCTCAATAATCCAAATAAACCTCTAATCTGTCAGAAAAACAATGACAACAAACAAAAACTCCTAACCTGATTAGAGATCTGGCATCGTTGTATGATACAGATTGTACTGGTATACTGGGACATCCGAGACAGTTCTCCTTAGGATTAGGTTGTTGATATACACCATCTAAACACATAACTACATACATTATCATTGATTTACAATGTTCACGGCAAATATTCAACATTACAAAGCATATACTGTTGTACCAGTCAGGATATATCAAACTCTTATGAAAAAATATTTCTGAGAGAGATGTCACTTATTTATCATTACAGATGTGTGTGTCTGCCTCTTACCTAGTGATGGGTAGCCTGGACTTTGTGGGTCCCCCATTAGTGTGTACCTCACATGGTGGGAGTGTACGGCCCATCCTGGGAGCCACCAGGTGCTAGGATATACTGCCTCTGTGTTGTTGTTGGCAAAGTCCAGTGGATCAGGATAAAGTATCACTCCTGCAGCCCCATTTTCCTCTGCATGTTTGACCTACAATGATTATTTTCTTACCTAAATGACAATAAATGTGAAAATCACACTGAGTTTGGTATCATAATCCATTCTATATTATCACTGTCATGCAACATCAGGAAAAAAATATTTTTTGCAGGTGTTTCATGTCAATACAATTAAAATCCAGAAAACTGACACAGCCAGAGAGAGAGGGCTCCACTAATTAAGGGCTGTTGTAGGGAAGTGACAATTGTACAAGAGTGTTCACAAACAGATAGATATATATACAAAAATTAATATACATGTATGTTTTTCTCTGTATATTTGGACATAAATACAAACATACAGACACAGTGATATGTAGGGCTGGGACGATATATCGAGATATCGATAATATCGGTTCATTGTGAGGATGATACGCATATCGATACATTTAAAGAAAAATCGAAATATCGCAAAAAAATTTTGACTTGTGTTTTTCTTTGTTTACTTAACATTTTGGATTAAATATATAAAATAAATGTGCTAGATAGAAATATTAATTAAGAAATAATGTATCATTTTTAAACATCTATCGGGATATAAATACGGGTTGGTCACGAGATCAAATTCCATAAAGCCCGAAGGGCTTTATGATAAATTTGATCTCGTACCAACCCGTATTTATATCCGATAGATGTTTTAAAATGATACATTATTACTTATATTTACATTTGTGACTTATTCATATTTTATGTTTTCCTGATTATAATCTTTTACGCGTGAAATGTTTTATTTTTCAAACCCAACGGCACGTATTTGATCCATTGATTGCGCGTCGACCCTTTATGACGTCACTGAGAAATTACGTCGAACGTTTCTGACGCGAGGAACCCGTGTTTATACGGATATAGATACGCATTGCTTTTAATAGTGTTATATAAAAGAAAACATTTGCAAATGTAAATATTATGAAATACATAATAATTAATACCACTTGGGTAAAATGATTTTGTTTTACAAGAGATATACAAGTTCTTTGCATAAATTATTCTTATTTGTGAAGAAATGCTTCATTCATTTCACTACAAAAACATTTTATAACCAACTCAACATATCGTGATACATATCGTATCATGGCTCAAATATCGGGATACGTATCAATATAGAAAAAGCTGTATCGTCCCAGCCCTAGTGATATGACTCCAAAATTCATAGGTGTCATCCTCTCATAGTAAAGTTCCACTGTACAAAATTTGAGACAGTTATATTGAAAATGAGTTATTGTGTCACAACAAAAGTCTTTACAGACGGACAGACAATGTTATTCCTATAGGGCTCTCACATTTCATGCAGGAGCCTAATAATATTTGAGCTTTTATTACATGTCCACAAAACTTTAACTTTTTTTCACAATTTTACAAGCCATTGAGAGTTTATTCATTTATACACATGTACAAGTTGACATTATTTCACAAAATCAGGTTAATGTTAGCCAATTAAGGGATTGATGCTAAAAATAAGAATGCACTTAAATCAGAGATGCTTCTCAATGTCACACTAAATAAATTGCCCAGTAAAACACTTCCCTGTTGCAGTATTGATTTACCTTATTAGCTGGGTGGATCCTGCCATATTTGATCAGAAGTACGCTGTTGTTGATGGAAACCCCAAGTCTGTCTAAAGTACGGAAATCGGTCTTTCTTCCGAAATTGGCAAATACCAATTTTCCCTGCAGCGAAAACATCCATTAAACTGTTATCAAACATTAATGAAGACTAGAAATTAAAGTGTAATGAATAACTGATGATATTTCTAAAAATGGTGAATCTTGCTAATCTAAGATTGATTATTTCCATTCATTGTAAAGAACATATTGTATTCAATTAGATTCAGCAAAACAAGCTTAAAACTTTCACTTTCATCATTCAGAATTTCTACGGGTGAATTCACTGGATCAGTGGCTACTCTGTAACAGAAATGGCAAAATATGAGAGAGAGAAATACAGGTATAGCATACACTTTTAACTTGGTTTTGGCAACCAAATTTTCAAATTCTAACTTTTCAATTTTATAATAATTTGCAGTAGATATATAAAAGGAAATAGATCTCCTTCCCCATTTTCATTCAAGCCATATGCTGATTCCAAGGAAAAGGACAGAAAATTATTTATACTTATATGATCCAATTATTCTTACCTTTGTCGTTAGGATTTGTACCAGCCATCTCATCATACAAGTACAATTTTTAAACTGGTTTAATTACCATTGAAAAGATTAATACACATTTTTTTGGGAGGGGGATATATATTTTGGTTTTCACTTTGATTTGATAAAAGACCGAAGCACTGAAATAGGACATCTAGTTCAGACTTCAAAAAAAAAAACCAATTAGATTATCCATAAAATAGGTACTTTTCTTTAGAAACCTTCTCATCCCTTACACAAAGGATCCCTATAATTTAATAATTTATTTCTATGTTAGTTTCACTGTACTTAATGCAAATCCCAGAGAAATCAGCTAACGGGATCAACTTTCAGAGTTATTGCTGGTAACTTTAATTACCAGAGGATGCGCAGATAATACCTATAATAAGGATGCATTAGGGTATAGTTATGTTTCCTGTATCTACCTATATAAGTACAGATATTTTTCTCCAGAAATATCAAAATACAGATATATCGAAGTCTTATTTCAGACATCTGTGAAAAAATTGTTTGCAATAAATATTGTCCTAAATAAATCAAGATAAATCTAAGAAAAAGATTTTCTTAGTTATTAAAAGTCTCTATTCTTAAGAACAAGAGGACCATGGGCCACACTGCTCACCTGAATTATGTTGGTCCTGTTGTTCTTTGGGAGAAAATCCACCCCCCTTTTTATTCCTATGAAAAATTTTGACCCCATATTGTGGTCCCACCCTAGCCCCAAAGGGTTATTTTGATTTAACCAAACTTGAATCCACATGGTAGGTAATGTAGATGGGTGTGACAATAATCACCTTCACGGATGCCTCTGGTGAGTACGCATTAAAAGGCATCTGCTCTGGATGCTCCGAGGAGAGGTTGAAGCTGGCATTCCATATAGTGGTGCCGTCTGGCTGTTCCAACGTTATAGTTGTTCTGTTTGGACTCTGCCTGTTGTAGGAGATACATTATTTACTGCTATTAACAAAAGCTGTTAAAAAGTTACAAAGTACACTGAAAATAGACCCGTTCTATATTTATTTCCTATGTAGCTGAATATGACACATTCTGAATGGCTAGTGTTAAATTGCAGCACCATGGGAGATGATATTCATCATGTAAATAAAGCTGACAATGACATTATTCGGATAATTCCCGATCAATTAGTTTTGCCAGCTGGTTTTTATTTCACCATATTTTCCTTTTGTAGCTGACAGCTGATAGTATGACAATAAATGCCTGGAATACTCAAGTCAGGAATAGATAAACACAGTATGAATTTATATACATTTAAAGGATCACTCATATGTAAGTCTATCTAAGGGGTGTACCACATACAGCCAGTATCTATTATCTTTGGTCTTTGGGACCATGCAGAGTTACAGAAAGTGGTTTTATCTCCAAATACTAGTGTTCCAGATTTGATCTATAGAACTTTCAATATCTAAATATCTTCAATTCATATTTTAGTATGGTTGATGGAATTCTAACTTTTTTTCAAGGACATAAGGTTGGATAAAAAGTATGTTTGGTCACAACCTTGGCTAAATATTGTAGAAAGACATATTTACACCAAACAAAATATAAGTGCATGGAGCAACTTTAGAGGTCACTTACAGAAATGGATATGACAATAACACAGTGTAGTTTGTCCAGGACAGACCATCCTGAGGGAAGTACTGCCACATGTCGTGTGTACCCATCACAACTTTTAGAGTTGATCCGACGGCTGCCAGTCCAATAGATGATGTCCATATCCTGTAATATAAATAAATTATACAGCATGTTATGATATACAGGTCATTCTCAATATTCATAGTATACGAAAGCAATGAACAGGTCAAGGCAGCCTCCGTTTTCAGAGCATAGACAAATTTCATATGGCCATCAGATTTTTTAATGGTAATTTGCAAAGCATTTTGGGTCAACGTATATGTATATTGCAAGTTTTAGAGGATAACTTAGATTATTTTAGCCTAGATGATTATCATGACATTGTTTCAAGGTCATATCTCAAAGGTCAATCTTATACGAATTGGGCTTAGAATATTGTTTACAATCTTCACACAAAAGTTATTACACATGTATTTTATTATTTTACTGCTTAAAATCTATACATATTTAGCATTATAAATATATTTAAATAATTACATAAGAGAGGCACAGGGTATTCCATGTGAAAAATCTGATGACAAACTGTCTAGATTTTCTAAATCATCTAGTTCTCTGTTTTAATCTACATACAATTCAATTAGCATTGTATACATCTACAAAACATCACAATGGGACTTGTAAATCCATCCATGTAATCGATCACGCCATTATCACAATCCAAGCAAGAATTCACTTATTGTTAATTAGAGCTGACAGATGATAGCTTGATTGTCTATGTGTAATTATGTCTATACATAATTGATAATTAGCAAAACAAACGTGGTACGAAAGTCATAAAAATATGGACATATTACATAACAAGACATATTAGAAAATACTTTCCATGATACAAAATGTAGGAGCTATAATTCGCTTGTTGTTTTTGCTTTATTAAAGTTTGGGACCAAGGCCCACTTTAGGACATGAAGAGACCAAACAAAACATGTATACCACTGAGAGCTAATTAAAGTACAGTCAAACATTCTTATCTTGAACTTGATATATTTTCATTTCCAAATATATTTCCTTAAGATTCTTTGCAAATTAGAGTATTGTTCATTTTCTCACGAACTACCATGGATAAGCATATACGAGTATCTCCATTTTTACGCCATACTACTGTACTTGACGTCAAAACTATAGTGCAAACTGTTTTGCTTTAAAAATGAGAGTTGAATTGTGGCACCTAATCAGAAAAATATAAATATAAGTAAATATAAGAAATGAATTTAATTTTTGAAAATTCATGAGGTAAATGAACTACAACGCTTCATGTACTTCATGAAATATGCCGGCGTGAAGCGTCGTAGTTCATGTCCTCATGAATCTTCAAAAATTAAATTCATTTCTTAAGGGACCATGGAAAAACTTTGAAATATATATCCAAGGGTTCAAGATACTGAGGGTAAAATTAATAGAAAAATAAAAGTGATTGTGACTTCCATATGAATTTGACACATCCATGGTATTCGAGATATCAGTGTTCAAGATACCAAAGTTCAATTGTACATCATTCAAAGATTCTGAATTCTTGTTCCTCAGAACTGATGGACAGAAGCATGGCAGAGAGCACTGAAAGACTCAGGTGATGACTTTTTCTTAATTAACTGAAGATCTTATAACAATTATCAACCCCCTAGCAAATATGATGTATACTGGTAAAGTGGTGTATGCAAATTCATAGACAAGTATCCCATGAATTACATTTGAACCCTGTTAATTCCTACTCACTTGATGTGGTCTTCAATATTGACAATGTCCTGTAGGTCATCTTGTAGGCTCTGTCTAATGGATGGATCATAATCCTGATAATAAATAGTATACACATTTACAGCTTATAACATGACAAAGATTTTATAAAAAGCTAAAATTTGCATCTTTTACCTTTCAATTCAATTAGAGGTATATATTGTCAAAAATTTTAATTATCATAACACCCTCCTACAACCAGTAAGGAATCTGGATGGGCAGTTGTGTTCTATTAGTGATGGAACTATGATGTTGATTTTTGATTTTACTTTCCACAAACCTTGTCAATGTTACAGAAAGAAAGAACCTTTCAAACTATCTAATCCACTTAACCACATCTTCTTTTCACTTGTAATTATTACCCAAAATCTCAAACGGAACTGAAAAAGCTGTTTATTAAGAGGGTGTCATTCACAAAGAATTAAGATGCTTCTCAGCCATAATTTTAAAAGTACATGAAGATAAAATGAATGAGAAATACACAAACCCATAATCAAGAGTGTTCTTTCTAAAATTAAAACAAAATTGCACCTGTCTCTCAAGCGATTAGCTGTCCCGACACACGAATAAAGAGGGTTCAATTCATTATTTCTTGTTTGTACAGCAGACTAGCCTGAAGTTGTTTTTTTTATTCATCATTGCTAACTAAATATAATTTGAAATATGGGCCCAAAAGTGGCTTCATACTTGCATAATGAAATCTGAATGCATAATAAATTATCAATTTTCATCTGAAAAAGTCCCAAGTGTGGTAACAGAAAGAGGTCGTTTTCATCCATCTGCATGTTTAGCAGCTGGACAGAGATGAAAACTACACCCCCTTAATGCAAGAGGTTATAAAGAACATATATCTTTCATGTTGACCTGACTGATCAAATATGGCACTATTTTATTCTTCATAGAATGTAGGGTTGGTGGGCTTTTTGCCCTCTGATGACCTTTATATACTACACTTGTAGTTTCCATATTCACTCCCAGTAGACACTGCCACCTCCATATACTGTGTAAATGTCAGCCTCATAGAATGTTTTCTGCAGATTTCATACATATTTAACTAAGAATCGGATAACATCCAGACTCTGTAGGAACAATTCTGAGATTGGAACATCAATTTGAATCTAGAAATGTAACTGCAGCTTTAAAAACTAAAATTATTTTCAGTGCTCATCCATAATTTTTCATTCACTTGCATCTCAGAAATGTTGAAAAATGAACTTATTCAACTTATATAGCAAAACCAGACTAGTCAGGGTGTTCATTACCTCCAACAAATATGTCACAGTAAGCAATCATTACCCCTTTAATACCCTGAGTCTCTTGTCTAGATGAAAGTTCTACCTCAGCAAGTTTCACTATATATAATCTAAAAGTCAAAAAGCAAACCTTCAAAGGTTTTAATATATATAAAAGGTAAAATAAAAAATATTGATCAATCTCATATATTTCTAGTAAGGAAAATGAATCATGAACAGGGCAAAACAGGGACATCTGAAAACACCAGAGGTGGGATCAGGTGCCTAGGAGGAGTAAGCATCCCCTGTTGAACTGGTCTCACCTGCTGTGAGCCCTTTATTTGATCAGGTAAACAGAGTAATCTGTAGTCAAAAAGGTATAAAAATGAGGTAGTCGAAAACTTTGTAACATCAACTTATTTGTCATGTATACTCCTTGACTTATTAAAGTTTTTTTTTTTTAGTATCACTAATACTCCTGTATAAAAAAAAATAATGAAATAAGATGACAATTTTATGGTCCTGCAAAGACATTCTACACTTGGATCAAATAATGGAAAAATAATAGCAGAATTTAATCAGTGAACATAATGAAAAGGAGAAACATTGTGTTATCTCACTCATCTTATAGTTTTTTGTTGCTTTCAGAGTGCAACTCCATTAGCATTTGAGGTTTTTTCCTCCCTATGGAGTTTAATCATTTCATATGATATAATCTATCCTTTAATGTCACACATCATTTCAACCTTCAGCAAAATATCTCCAAGAAACAATGCCCCTAAAAGTTCCTCTCTATTGACAAAACAAAAGCAAAGTGACAGGACAGAAAAATGATGGAATTCAAAAATCAAATTTAGAGGCCACGAACAAGTGATCTCTTCCACTCTTGAGATGTTGTGTGCCATAAAATGAATTCCAAACTCAATTATCAGGAAGGTCAGAGGCATTGTTTGAAAGACAAGCTATTGATTGCGGGAAACCCTCAAAATCTGGCTTCCCTTTCACAGCTCCCATGCGAGTAGTATACTTATATAAATCATACTTCATGAGCCTTCAAGCCAGTCAGATCTAGGTCCCAGTCCAATTCCTCTACCTCGCTATTGTTTTATATTTTTGGCGTGTCTGTACATTATTTTGATTGAGATGTATTACAGCTTGATCAAATTGCTCTCTACATCTCTTTGATTGTTAACCATGATTCCTAATGCAAGTCTCTCATAAAGCTGAATTACCGGCCACTCAAACTGAGAAAAACAAAGTGATAGAAGAAGAGATCTGATACTTCTAAAAACCTTGTTTCTCGGGCAAAAAGCGACACTGGCAAGTAAGACATATGTAACAGAGTCTTATTTATGATATCCCCATTGACTACTGAACAACCAGCACAAACTGCATTATAAGGAAGAATCCAACTTTTTCATTGATTCATAAAACTTCAGAATGGCAGCCATAGCCATATAATGAAACAACACTTGGAGCAATTTATGGCATGCGTAACTAATATTTTAGATTAGTCCAACATCTTCTGTGCCAATTCTCATCACGACTATGGTTTAGTTGCTGAAATGTGCCTCACAGGGCTTGAATATTTGTGATAAAGGCACTGACTATTTTCCCCAGCATGGTTCTGGAGTTTTCTGGCAGCCACCAGTTACTTGAAGATTAACTTCCATACCATCTACCTGGTAATGACATACATATGAACACCCCACTTTTGTGCAAAATCTTTAGTGTTTGTTGTGCTATAACAAACTCTGTCACACTGTTTTCCTTTCTATGAAAATTTCAAAAAAATAGAACCATGCAAAACTTCTGTCATTTATGAGCAATTTTTTGATAAGCTAAATGAGCTGGGCTCTCATCGCAAAATTTCATGATTTTTCCTTCATAATTAGTCTGCTAAATGATTCATATGCAAAATTCTATCAACCTGACTGAATAGAATAGCCATGTTTAATATCAGTTATGTTGGAGTCCTAGGTACCTGACTGAATACACTATATAAATAGCCTGGATAAAGGGGAAAGAAAATATGCTCATGACAAAGATTTCACACAGAGATCTGCTATGACCTTGACCTCTGACATACAAACTTGGTTCAAGGTTGTGGTACACCCTTCACAAGAATTTTACACAGAACTTATAATTTTTTTTACCTTCACCTTTGATCTTGAAATCAGTGCAAGATCAATGCGAACCCTACATTGAAGGGCATCCTTTGGGAAGTTTGAGCAAGTGATATTCGACAGACAAACAGACAAATGGAGAGGCAGACAGACAGACTGATCAAGACAGGGCCCTAATTAAAATTAAGTAAACAAGGTAGAAGTGTCTTCTGAACTTCCATTGAAGCTAGTTTAGACCTTGACCTTTGACACTAAGATGAGGAAATTACCTGGTATAAGAATTAAGCTTTGTTGTAGGTAATCAATTGTTGTCTTTGAGTTTCTGCTATACATAAATTAAGATGCAATATTTTGAATGCCATGTTGTATTTTACTTTGAACTGTAGAATTATTAAAATAAATTGATTTGCTTGGAAACGTTTTTGTCTCTTTTCTTCATTCAAAGAAGTTGGTAATTGAGGACTAAACCAACAATTCAGTTTTGGTTTTATTGCATTTAAATTACTTCTCAATGTGACCATAATGTCTTTAGTGACTTCTTATTAGAGGTATTCAACAAATTAGCAGCAAGGGAAACTATGGGCTGCAAGACCACATCATATAACATGGACCAGGTTTAGCTATATTTGTCGTCTAATCTTCTGTGAAGGAATATTTCTCCATATATCTATTATCCTTGAAAAAATAAGCTTCTTTGCAAAATTGAGAAATCTCAAGGTTAAAGCAAAGAGAAGCCGAGACAAAACAGTGTATGTGATATATATATATATATATATAAAGTAAGTTATAAACTTCACTGTGGTTTCATAGAAAAAATTGTGCAGTTGATGGAAGTTGATCCGGCCAGTTTGCAGTGTTGGTGATGCATTGTGCCTCTGCTGCAGTGTGTGCCTCACACTGTATTGATTTTGTTTAGATTTTAATTCCGTAGGTACATGTACTATAATCTTGAGCTCATTATTGCTGTAATTTTTTTTAATGACAGTACACACATATATATATATATATATATATATATATATATATATATATATATATATATATATATATATATATATACAGTAAAACATGCATATACCAAAGTGCCTGGGATGGATGATTTTGCTTTGTAATAAACATAATTTGTTATATCTGTTAAATTCACAATGTATTGTAAAGCCACAGGGAATGAAAATCACTTTGTTGTAAGCATCAATTCATTATAAGCATGTTTACTATAAGCATGTTTTACTGTATGGATTATACTTATAGAACTCTCATATCAGATTTCATGGAACAAACAAGTTATTAACCTGACTTTATTTCTCATTTTTTAATGTTTAGTTGCAGATTAAATAAAAATCTAGATTTCTGGGATTCCACATTTCTTGAAAAACACATGAACTTTATTTCATATGATTTAAACAACAAGAAGTCTCTGACAAGACTGCAGCTCTACTGGTTTGTACTTATAGCAAAGGAAGAGAAAAGTAACACTTGAACTTGAAACTTCACAACAGCAATAAATAGAATAATGAACCTTGGTTTAATCTCTGTTTGTGGAAAGATTTATTGCAATCCGATTAAAACTGTAGGAGGAGTAGCATTTTGAATGTATTTCACAGAAATATCTATTTTAGTAATCTTGGCAACATCGTTCATCAAAATCAAAAACCAATAGACAGAACTGTGTATCTTAGTGTAGTCTACTTGTGTGCTAAGTTATTATATTGAAATCAGACTAAAACTGTGGGAGGAGTAGCGTTTTGAATGTATTTCACAGAAATATAATATCTATTTTTAGTAACCATGGCAACACCATTCATCAAAATCAAAATCTGATTAAGAGAATTAGGTATCTTAATGTAGTATACTTGTGTGCCAAGTTTCATTGCAATCAGACCAAACTGTAGGAGTAGTAACATTTTGAAAAATTGTTTACCGACAGTCAGATGGGCGGACAGCTAGACAGACGGACGGACAATCTTACTATCACATAAGCTCTTCTGGTCTCTGACCAGTAAAGCTAATAAAAACTTAGCTAACTTGTCACTTTCAGTGTTAGTTTTTAGTAAATTTATAAAGTCTATAGTCATTTGATGATGTGAAAGAGAGTCAAAACATACTTTGAGGTGTAATATATATGTATTTTGAGATGACCCCTCATTTTTCTAATGAACATGTTATTATAAACGGTGACTACTGAATCACATATCAGTGTGAATTGTTTTATATATTATCTAATTATATTTTACCCGTATGTAATTTGAAATATTATTGAATTGTCAGCTTTGTTTATTCTTGATTGTTACCGTTGTAAACTTTTAACAGAGGAAAGTCGGATTGACACATGTTATATAGACATAGAGATTTTACGAATTTACAGCTGTATTTAAAGGATCTAATCAGAGCACTTGTATTATAATGTCTTCTAAAGACTGATCTCGATGTAAATTATTAAATATTTTTCTTACTTACGGTAAAATTGCCGTATTTTTCTCTGTACAATCTGTACCATACTTGTGTTCTATTTTTGTGTATTTTGGTTTAGGTTGACCTCTACTTCCGGGTCAATTCCCATATTTATACTTTTAACCTCATTAATATTCATTCGATGTCAATTTCAAAGAACACCGACTTTTACTGTGAAACAAGTATGTAATTATTGTTTATGTGTGAAATATTATGTAAAAAGGTATTAATTGTAGAATTATTTGCAATATTAATTGTATTTTTATCTAGAGAACTATTTTTCGTATAGAGATTCCGTAGAATTCCGTATGCGTTATACGAATTCGTATGGAAACGGAGTGTGATTTGTCCTTACGGAATATAAATAAGGAAATTCCGTAAGTCCGAAGTTAGTCTGCTTCTTGGCATTTTTGTAGACGTAGGGTTTATTTTGGCTGTCACTTTAATTTAAACGTCTGAGGTAAAACTCTTTGAGTTTTTAATTGGTAATTAGAATTTGAAATTAATTAACAAATCTATTTATTTATTTTTGGCAATTTGTTGGTTCTTACTCAGAAATTTTGGTTTTAGTCACATATCTTGATTATTTCAGGATCCGACTTTACCAATTTTTCTTTTAAATAATTTATTGAGAAATTATCTAATTAATAAATTAATTCTTCAGGAGATCACATATCTTGATTATTTCAAGATCAGATTTCTTGAGTGAATATTTCTAAAACTTTGCTAGACAAATCACATCTACCGTTCTGACAATTTATCGAAATAGTAGCTTAATTAATAGTATAGTCGCATATCTGGATTATTTCTGGATCTGACTTGTTTTATTGGGGTGGTTAAGAAAAGCTTGGAAATTCTAAAAATTATATTAATTATTTTTGCTTGGTTGTAGATATATATATATATTTTTTTATACCTTCTTGTTGAGACTTACGGGTATTATCTATAATAAAATTTTGTATTTGGAAGCAGACTCAATAAATTCATGAAACTTAAATTTTGAGTTAGTGTTGTTGACTCAGTGTTTAAAAGGGGAGTTAACTCCTGTCTTCTAGAACCACTATCTCGTTACAGAGGAATTCCAGAATTTTTTAAAAATGTAAAATCAGGAAAAATTTGAAGTTACTTGGATTAAAAAATTCATATTGATCATTTTATCATGGAATGTTTTTGTATGAAAGTATAGAAAGGAATCTCTCAGTTTTTCCAGAAATGAACCGAATGCAAAACATAAATGTATTTTGTCAACACTGTATGACTCTGCAATAAAAACTGAAGACACAAAAATGAAAACATTTCAGAAGTTTTTACTTACCTGGTAAATTCGTGGAATGGGTGTAGGTGTTGGGGTGTTCAAGGGAGCGATGTATTTTTCATGAATATTTCTTCGTATGACATAACCAATGATAAGACCGACAAAGAAACAAACAACGAGAAGTAGAACTTTGAGGACATTTCCTTTCCTTCCGGAGAAGAACTCCACAAGGCCCGGTGAGGCTGGGTTGTCTAGGTGACGGTATTGAATGTCCACATTGTCAGACTCGGCATCCCATCTGGACACCTGTCTACCTGCTACATACTTCCCCTTTATTGGCATTCTGAAATATAACAAGTTAAAGTCACCAAAGCAATGCAAGTATTTGATAATTTCTGGCTGCATAAGTACCCAATCAAATTGCATGTAAAAATTATATTGAAGACAATCCCTGTACTCAATCATATACTATAGATTCGGGAAATTAACATGAGGATTTTAACTTCACTATGTTCACAATTTTATTACTTTTTCGCAAAATTAAACCCATAGTGAATAACGTAATCAGATCACACAAAGTATCTCAGTCACAAGCCACACACCTTTAGTGTGAATTTAAATCCTGATTGGTACCCTGGTAAAAAATCGTGAAATTTTAGCACTATGAAATTAAAATGACTTACAGTATTTGTGTGATGCAAACATTTGTGCTGTATGATATAAATTATAAGCATTGTACATTTTTTCTGGTCCATCAACCACTTAATCTTTGGTCAATTATCTCAGGCAGCAGCTACATGCATATATATTCAACATTTTAAACAGAACTACTGTAATAATTAATATATGTACAGAAGTGTACAGTTGAACTTTGGTATCTGGGACACTAATTGATATGTAAAGTATAGAACTTGTTGAAATGTGTCTTCAGTCCAGATATCAGTCTCCACTTTGATATCTCAAACCTCGAATATATTAATTTTTTTTTTGTCTGTTCCAATAAGCATGAGATAATGAGGTTTGCTATGAATACATTTTATAAATTATCATTGAAGTTACACATACCAATTAAGTGAACGTTTTCCCAATCAAACATAAATATGTCTCTATCACCTACATACTGTAAATTGTATTAACTTTCACACTTCTTGTCCACTAATTTAAGTTTATGCTAATACTGTAACATACCTTTTTTCACAAGGTCATAATTCTGTGGAATCACAATTTTTGTTCAATCTGTGAGTAGCAAATTATGCAGATTCTTAGATTGCCACTATATGCCTTAAATGTACTTTAGTACATTTCTGCAGAAAATTTGTGACCCCATACACAGTGTTAATTAATGCCATGTGGAAAGTAGTAACTTCTATAGTATAACATGTATAATACAAGTCATTAAAAATTTATGATTGCTGATCAGCTGAAGAGGAAGATGGCACTCAATTTTGAGTGCACTAATTTATTTTTGTTTACAGTAATTTTATATAAAAATACAAATATGTACCTAAAAATAGATTTAACTTTATCATAGCATTTAAAAAAACATATAAATATAATTTTTTTTACTATAATATTTAGAATGCAAAAAGAAATATGAAAGAGCAACCACATCAGAACTCACCTGTCCGAAAACACCGACACCAACTCTGTTGTCATTATGATTTATCCGAGAGGAACAAAGTTAATTATCTCCCCTTATTAGATCACAACCTCATATAGATCATCTAGGATTTAATTGATTGAGCCGGACAGCTCTGCTCTCTTTCATACATCTTTGTGGTAGCAACAAAAGTCAGACATTGGGAAGGATGAGCCTACCTTAAAGCTCTGCCTCCTGCGAGCTTTCCCAATAATCTATGATTCTTGTTGTACGGGGATCTGTGTACGGTGACATGTAATGCCAACAAAAACAATGCACTAGTGTAACAATCATTTTTTCTTTTTTATGTAAATATTCATGAGCTTTAATAGGATACTTCCAGAAATGGGATTTTGCTCTCATGGGGGGATTTATTGGCACTGTCTATCATATCAGCACACACCATAATAAGAGAAAACAAAGCCTATAGGCTTGATTCTGTAGTCTGGAATCCCTGACAATATTTGACCAGAGAATGAGTTAAAACCAATTTAGTGGAACAAAACTGGAAGCAATCTTAGATTGCTAATTTCAATTAAAATACTTCAGGCTGAAAATCAATGTGTTCAAAGCTGAGACAACAACATTACCTTAACTTCCTGAAAATGACAGACAATTTCATTGCAGATTGTTATATAACAACTTAAGATGTTCAGTACTTTTACCTTGTTTATTTTGTAGATTATTCTGATTTAAAAAAAAATTTTTAACATAACAAATATTCATTGTTTCAGAATGCCTTCATAAAAATACCAAAATCCATTCAATTCATATAGTCAGAAAAATTCACCAAACTCTCTTAAAAAGAAAATTAATGTTCTTCACTTAAAACTAGAAGGCTTGCCATTGATTGAGTGAAGGAAGATGCTTTCACCTATCCAACATTATAAATCCAACAAATTCAGAGAGAAACAACATGTGTTTGTGAAACACTGATGCTTCAATATGGCAGCTCATGGCAAAGATTAAAGTTTCTCAAATGAAAGTCAAACTCCAAGGTCTAGGTCAAGAGATCAAAATTGTTGGTACCCAAAGAAAGGTCTTGTCACAAAAAATACATGTGAAATATGAAAGCCCTACCACAACTGTTCAATAGTTAAAAGGTTAAAGTTTTTCAAAAGTAGGTCAAAATCCAAGATCAAAACTGTTGGTACCCTAGGGAAGGTCTTGTCACTAAAAATACACATGAGAAATATGAAAGCCATTGCACCAACTGTACAAAAGATATGGTCATTGGGTTGAAGTTTTTGAAAATTAGGTCAAACTCCAAAGTCAAGGTCAAATAGTCAAAATTATTGGTAACCAAGGTAAGTACCTGTCACAAGAAATACATATGTGAAATATGAAAGCCCTAGCACCAACTATTCAAAAGTTATGGCCAAGTTTTTCAAAAATAGGTCAAACTTGAAGGTTAAGGTCAAGGGGTCAAAATTGTTGGTACCCAAAGAATGGTCTTGTCACAAGGAATACACCTGTGAAGTATGAAAGTCCTAGCACTAGCAATTCAAAAATTATCGCCAAGATTAAAGTTTTTCAGAAGTACCTGTAGCTAAAACTCAAAGATCAAGGTCAAAGGGTCAAAATTGTTTGTACCCAAGAGGTCTTGTAACAAAGAATACAAATATGTTGTATGAAAGCCCTAGGACCAACTGTTCCAAAGTTATGGTAAAGGTTAAAGTTTGGTAAAATTTTGTGCAAAAGTAGGTCAAACTCCAAGGTCAAAACTATTGGTACCAAAGAAAAGGTCTTGTCACAAGAAATACAGATAGAAATATGAAAGCCATAGCTTGATTCAATCAAAATATACGGGTAAGGTTAAAGTTTTTGTGGACCAACAGACAAACGTACAGACAGAGCAAAAAATATATGCCCTAAAATTTTTGATTATGGGGGAATAAAATTGGAATATATAAGAAACAACTATTATAATTATGAAAAATAATTTTTTCTGGTTTCAAAGATGGGTTGGTGGGTGGTGGTGGTGGTAAGGGGGTGGGGTGGGGGGTTAAGGGAACAAACAATCAATAAACAGAATCTTATATCCTTGATAGAGGGGGGTGAAGCCAAACTTTGAAATTTATAAAATGACACCAATTAATGTCTGATCAAGAATCTAAAAGTTACAGTTGGAACACATTTCAACATTTCATTGAACAGTGACCTGGGTCTTTAAATTATGACCCCAAGTCAAGATCTTTGAATTGGTTCCAATCAAAGGTTTCAAAGTTATGACCAGGATTTGAGATGGTATGACATCATAAGACTAATTACCATGTAAACAAGAGGCCCATGGTCCACATCGCTCACCTGAGTAACTTTGGCCATGCTGTTCTTTACCAGATTCCCCCATATGTAATACATATAGTGGCCCCACCCTACCCCCAGGGGTCATGATTTTTACAATTTAAAGTCTACACTATCCCAGGATGCTTCCACATAAGTTTCAGTTTTTCTGGCTCAGTTGTTCTTGAGAAGAAGATTTTTAAAGATTTTTCTTACATATTTCAATGTAAAACTTGGATTCCCTATTGTGGCCCCGCCCTACCTCCGGGGGTCATGATTTTTATAATTTAGCATCTACACTACCCCAGGATGCTTCCACATAAGTTTCAGTTTTTCTGGCCCAGTTGTTCTTGAGAAGAAGATTTTTAAAGATTTTTCTTACATATTTCAATGTAAAACTTGGATTCCCTATTGTGGCCCCGCCCTACCCCCGGGGGTCATGATTTGAACAATTTAGAATCTACACTATCCTAGGATGCTTCCACATAAGTTTCAGTTTTTCTGGCCCAGTTGTTCTTGAGAAGAAGATTTTTAAAGATTTTTCCTATTCATTTCAATGTAAAAAGTGGATTCCCTATTGTGGCCCCACCCTACCCCCAGGGGTCATGATTTGAACAATTTAAAATCTACACTACCCCAGGATGCTTCCACATAAGTTTCAACTTTTCTTGCCCAGTGGTTCTTGAGAAGAAGATTTTTAAAGATTTTTCCTATATATTTCAATGTAAAACTTGGATTCCCTATTGTGGCCCCGCCCTACCCCCGGGGATCATGATTTTTACAATTTAAAATCTACACTATCCCAGGATGCTTCCACAAAACTTTCAGCTTTTTAGGCCCAGTGGTTCTTGAGAAGAAGATTTTTTAATGACCCCACCCTATTTTTGTTTTTTCTTGATTATCTCCCCTTGTAAGGGTACTTGGCCCTTTATTTTAATAATTTAATCTCCCCTTTACCCAAGGATACTTTGTACCAAGTTTGGTTAAAATTGGCCCAGTGGTTCTTGAGAAGAAGTTGAAAATGTGAAAAGTTTACAGACGGACAGACGTCCGGACAGACGGACGGATGACGGACAATGGGTGATCAGAAAAGCTCACTTGAGCTTTCAGCTTAGGTGAGCTAAAAACAATACTGGAACAAGTCTCTACCCCACTGGGGTGAGGGTGGGGATAATGTAGTGACAAGTGACAATTTTACTATGGTAACCATCACATTACTTGTGTTGGTCAATCTGTCAGCAAAATTATTAGGAGGACCATGGTTTACGTGCATTTAATAGCTGTAAGAAATCTCTGCAATCCCAAGTTTCTAATTTCCTGTTACCATTACTTCATCACTGGTGGTTTGATCTAGCAATAAAATGTGCTGTTTTGGATGAAGAGTGGTCTTAATTCATTGAATCTCCTTCAGTGTGAATAATGCATGTTGCATTATTATGTAAATTGGTCATACAAACATCATTAATTCCACTGGGATAATACACAATCAATAAACTCATAGTAACATAAAGCCGCATTGCAAAACCTTCAAAGATGTGTGAAAAGCTCAGTTGCTTATGAAATAAGACATTTAGTTGGTGAGCACATAAATCACTCTTTTTATGGCCTACCTCTCTGCCTCAGCAACACCTATATAACATCAATTTCTGCATGTAGAGCAATGGGTGATTGTACTTTCACCAGTGAATCCACTTTCTGCAGAAAAATAACCATTCCTACAGATATGCTAAATCAACAGTCCAGATTGACACTTAATGTACTTGTACAAAAATACAATTATTGGATATTAGAACATATGTTATGACAATGAAATTCACCACAAATAAGCTTGAATTTCTGTTATTCTGTTATTCTAAAATTGGTATAGTTTAAACACTCAAAGGCACCAGAGGAAGACTGAGCAGACCATACATTTACACCAGAAACCAAAACTGAACAGAACCTGAATTGCACTTCAGTAAAACACTATTATAGTAAATCTCAAAGAACAGCCAAAGTCACTTTGCAATATCTGTCATTTGTAACATAAAATTGATTTTTCATTATTTTATATTACTTGGTGACAAAATGAGACTTCATTTTATGTAAGATTTCATGTCAAAACATATTGCATTAAACACCTCTCAAGCAGAATATTGCAACAATAAAACCAGAGGTCTCTGATGCGACTGTAACTCTACTTGTTTTTCTTATAACAAAGGTGTATTGTATTTCATCATGGAACAATGGGAGTACCAATAAGCAAATTACATGACATTTAGTTTAGTCTCTTTGTGTGGTAAGTTTTACTGAAATGGCACCAAACTGTTGAAGGAAAATTGCCTTTTGCAACAATATTTGTCTAAATGTGAAACCAATGTATGGAATTATACATAACTTTGTGTAGTTTATTTGTGTACCATTTTTTAAAAAATCATACCAGTACTGTACGAGAGGTAGCATTTAAAAAAGAATTACACAGAAATTTCTATTTTTAATAACCATGGCAACATAGTCTGTATAGATATCAAAAATAGATATACAGAATTATGTATCTCAGTGTGGTCAGTCTAATTGTGTGCAATGTACTAGTTTTATTGAAATAAAAACTAAACTGTAGGAAGAATAATGTTTTGAAAGAATTTCACAAAAATTTCTATTTTTAGTGGCAATATCATTCCTGGAAATCAAAAGCCAAACTAGAACTGTCCAAAATGGACAAATACCCCCTGCTGGGTTTTTCAGAAAAGGTACCAAGTCACTAAAAATATTTTTTGGATCTGGAGGTCTTACATTTAAATTGCCAGTCAAAATATAATTGAAATCTAATTAATTTAATTTTAACGAATGATGAGCTAAGCTAGTACAGCCTAATATAACATTAAAATACAAATCATTACCGGTATATTGTTTTTATTA